GGGTGCTGCACATCCGCACACTGCGGAAGCGTGGACGAAGGCGTCGATGTCTGCCTGGCACGAGGAGGCCAGCAGGTACTGCACATCCGCACACTGCGGAAGTGTGGACGAAGTTGTCGATGTCCGCCTGGCACTGTGGAATCAGATTCTGCCTTTGGGTCAAGATCCCTAGATGGTTCACTTGCCCATTCAATTTGAGAGGCTGATGGCTAGAATTCCTATCCTGTGCCCAGTCCTGAAACACAATATCAGTGACAACAAAATTCTTTTCTTTCTTGTCCAACTGTTGTCTTGTTTACTGCCTGTCACAGTATTTTATCTGTGGAACAAAATTTCTAACCCTCCCCATTTCTTCTGAAACATTTTCAGTGACTATAATTCAAGCATTACATAGACCATTTGGAAAATACAGATCTGCATAGGGCTAACTTTTAGCTGCTAGCGTTGGTTCCTAGGTTTCAGCAGAGACTGAAGCTCCAACAACAGCTTTTGCTAAGCTTCACGTAGATAAGGCTGTGGAGATCGCGCCCGGCTCCAGCCGGAAGGGGGCTCATTGCCCATGGGCCAGCAGTGAGGCTGATGGGCAGGCTATGTTGTAGGGCCATCACTGGTTTTATGTAATCAGCATCTTCATGATTACCAAAATGACCCTGCACCTCATGCCATGCTGGCCCTGGAACCCCAGGCACGCCCTATGGATTTGCAAAACCGGGTGTGGTGGCAAATGCCTGTTGTAGTTCCAGTGCTGGGGAGGCTGAGACAGGAGGATCACAAGTCCTAGCTGCCTACCTAGATCCTGTATAAAAAAAAAAAGACTTCCCCAAATGAGATTTTATTTTTATTTTTAATTAAATTTTATAGATACATTTTAGATATGTACAGTGATCACATTCGTCATAGTTTGTAGCTGTACTTAACATAGCTTTCCACCCCCCCATTTTCCTGTCTTCCTTTCAACTCCCTGCCCTCCCCATTTACAAAGCTCTGTTTCCTCATTCTCCTTTCCCCCCTTCTGTCCTTACCCCTTTCCAGCTCCCTGGTTCACCTCTCTTGAGCATTTTCCCCCTATTTCACAATGCCTGTTGTTTACACTTACTGGTTTCTCACACCAGAAAAACAATGAGGTATTCACATGCGTGGGATTTATTTCACTTAACAAGTATGGTCCCCAGGCCCATCCATTTTCCTAGCAACGTCTTTTTTTTTTTTTTTTTTTTTGTGGAACTGGGGATTGAACTCAGGCCCTTGCACTTGCCAGGCAAGCGCTTGCTCTACTGAGCTGTCTTCCCAGCCCCTAGCAATGTCTTGAGCGTATGCTTCTTTATCCATTCACCAGTTGATGAAGGGACACTTGGTGTCCTTGATTTGGCTGTTATAATCTGTGCTACAGGGGTGCATGTATGGCTGTGCTGTGATGCTTTTAATTCTTTTGGGAAGATACCCAGGAAGGGAATGGCTGTGTCAAATGGGACTCCTAGTCCTAGCTGTTTGAGGAACCAACAGTGGAAAAGGGTTCCTTTCCCCTCATAGCTCTGCCAGCGTTTGTTATTGCTTGATTTCTGTCTGTCTGTCTGTCTGTCTGTCTGTCTGTCTGTCTGTCTCTGTCTCTCTCTCTGTAACTGAAACTGCTTTAATTGGTTGATTTTTTTTTTTTTTTTTTAAATTTTTTTTTCCTGGTGGAACCAGGGATTGAACTCAGGCCCTTACCCTTGCCAGGGAAGTGCGTATTCCACTGAGCCATCTCCCCGGCCCCTGATTTCTTGAAGGTAACCCTTTTATCTGGGGTGAGATGGAATCTCAGAATTGTTTTAGTTTGCATGTCTCGAATGAGCACTGATTTTTGAACATTTTTACGTATATTTATTTGCAGTTTGTATTTTTTCCATCTGAGAATTGCGTATTCATCTTAGATCCAAAAAGTTTTTAGTGGGCCAGGGAGATAGCTAAGCAGAAGTACCTACCTGGCATGTGCAAGGCCTGCAGTTTGATTCCTGGTACTGGGAAAAAAAGAGAGAGAGATTTTAATGAGAATTTGTTAAATGAAGCACATCTCTCGGAGGTGACCAGTGACTGACCACATTAATCAAGTCAGTGGCCTTTCAATAGTAATTCTTTTACCCATTCTCCCTTGGTTATTCAAGGACCCACTTAAAGTCTCATTCTTTTATTTACTTATTTGTTATAATTGTATGTTTTTTAAAAATGTGTGATCGCTTGTTACCATTTTTTGTTGACACTTGCTTTGGAAATTTTTTTTTTGCTTTGGAATTTGATTTGATCATTCTTATCCATTATTCTGCTTTTTCCTAAAGATTACCAGGGTGTATTTTTGTTTGTTTGTTTATTTTGAGACAGTTTTGCTATGTAGTTTAGGCAGGCCTTGAACTCACCGTGTGCCATAGGGCAGCTCTGGACTCACAGTGATCCTGTGGGCATAGCCCCCTGAATGCTGAGATTATAGACAT